TTGCTGCTCCACGGGCTCACTTCATGCACATCGCTGTCAGAGGAAGCACGCGAGTTGACAGACACACACCGCGGCGGCGAGGAGTCGGCCGCGCTGGTGGCCGCCGGGATCTCAGGCAGCGTGTTGCGCGGAATACCCATCACGAGCATCGGCGCGGCCTCGCCGGTGACCACCCACGACACGGAAGAGTCCTTGCATAAGGTGTGCATCCTCGTCACAAACTCCTTCGACGAGAGCAGCCGAACAGGCCGGTGTGGCACAAGTCCCACTGTCATTGCCGCGAGGGAAAGGGAGAGAAGTGTACTGCGGGCGAGGGCGAGTGGGTGGCGACTGAAGTTGCGCGTTCCCGCGTGCCGCCTCTTCTGGCTGTTGAAAAACAAACACTACCCGGCAAAACTACAGCAGACGTCGAAAGAGAGAAATTAAGAAGAAGAGAAAAGGAGAAAAGGAGAAAAGGAGAAAAAGGTGTACACCGACATACCTCGCAACGCCAGACGACACACATTTGTGTGTGTGCGTGAGCCCAGCCACTGAAGGCGCAACTCATCGTGGCAGCACTCCCACCGCATATGCCCTCTCGCATTCATCACAACAGAAGTCCTTGCGGCAGAAAGGAAGAGAAAAAGTAAGAGCTGAAAGGGCAAACAGGACGGAGCAGAAAAAAAAAAAAAGTCAAACGAACCCAATCCACGAAAAAAAAAGACCCAACTTTCCCTCCTCCTTCCATGTCTTTTGATTTGATTTTTTTCCTCAGTGGCCTTCTTTGCCCGGTATTGTCCTGTTCTCCCCTTCTCTCCCTCCTCAGCCTTGTTACCGCCGCTTCCTTCTTGCTTAGTTTGTTGTCTTCTCGCTTATTCCCCTCTCTCCCACCACGTGCACAAGCTTTTGGTTGCCTGTTTTTTTTTCATTTTTTTTCTTCTTCTTTTCTTTTCGTTGCTGTTGTTTTGTTTTTTATGTCTTTCCTTCTCCAGCGTGTGCATATTACTATTGTACCTATCGTGATGTTAACCGTTTCGAGGTCAGTCCGTGGAGAGGCTCGTCCCCCTCCCTCCTGCCGTTGTCTTGCGGGGCTGCGGAAGAAGGGAGGTACCATGGGGGAAACCCCACGCACATCGGTGCCGCACTCCGCCACCGCGGCTATTGCGGGTGTCGCTTCTGCTTCTTTGACTGCATGACACGTTGCTCCTTCCGCTCACTTGCCGCCTTTGCCTGATCCTTCTTTGCACGGCGCAGCGCCCGCCTCTCACGCGGCTGCAATTCGTTGCTGCCGACATCCGCGTACTTGCGGTCGGCGCCGCGGTAGAGGTCCTGCGGCGCAAGTGCAGCCTCGCGGGTGGTGGCAAAGTTTCCAACGGTCTCCAGCGTGATGGCGGGGGCCTGGCCGTCAACTGCACGCACGCGGGCCGCCAAGTCCTCCTGCACGGGCTTCGGCGTGTAGTAGAAGTTGCTGAGAGCGTCCAAGTGCTGGGCGAGGCGCCGCCACATCTGAATCGCCCGCAACTCGTCCTTCTCAATCTCCGTCAGCGGCTCCGCAGTCTGCGCAGCGTCCCCGCTCGCCTCCTCCGCCGCACGCGCACGCTCAAGGTACTCCTTCTCGTACAAGTCCATCAGCGACAGCTGCGACTTCTCCGAGTCAAGCGTTGCGTTGCGGCGCGTCGTGACTAAGTCGGCCGGCGTCGAAAGTGAAGTGCGGCGCTGCACGTCGTCGTAGTTTGCGTCAAGGATGCGGCGGCGAATGCGGTCTTCTAGCTTGGCAGTCACTGCCTCCGTGATGACAGGCACCGCCTTCATGGCGTGTTCAAAGTCCAGTTCCTCGTCAAGCAAGGCGTCACGCGGGCGGCTGTTCCCGCTTGCCTCGCCGCTCATCGCCCACTGCGTGCTGTACAGCCGCTCCTGCTCCAGCCGCTCCACCAAACGCCGCTCCCGCTTCCGCTCCCGCTGCAGTGCCGTCAGACTGGGATCGTTCAGATCCGCGTCATTCTCGTCGTCCTCGCCGTCCGCATCCCCTAGCTGCTGCTGCGGCGGCAGCGGGACCCCGTCGTCGAGAAGGATGTCGTCGTTTCCAAAGTACCTCCCGTCGCTCTCGTTGAACGCGGCGGTGGGATCGTCCCACGTGAGGTCCTCCTCAAAGTGTGGGTCGCCGCCGTCCTCCTCGTCGCTCACGTCCTCCTCGTCTGGAACAAAGTCGCCGCCGTACATTTCCTTCAGCGCCGCCAGCTCCTCGTCGCCGCGCCGATCATCATCCTCCTCAGCAGCTTCGTCGTCGTCGTCAGCCTCCACCATCGCCCGCGCGTGCCTGAGCCGGATGCGTGCGTCAGCATTACCGTTATTATCGTCGTCCTCATCCCCCTCCTCCTCGTCCTTCTCATCCTCACCGTCAGCGTCACCGTCATCGTCACCGTCACCGTCACCCTTTCCAAAAGCGTACCGCCATAAGTCATCCCCGTTGAGGCCATTCTTCTTGACCGGTTTCGCCAGCCGCCGCCGCTGCTGCTGCTGCTGCTGCTCAGCGAGAAGCCCCGCAATCTCCTCGTCCAAGTCGCTCTCACTGAGCTCCGAGGTCTTTGTTGAGAGCACATCTCTAGCTTCCTCTACAGCATCAGACTCACCAGCGTCGTTGCGTGGACGCTTCGCCTGTCCTCGCTTAGCGCTGCGTTGTTGTGGTGCGGAGGAACCCTTCACGGTCTTCTGCGCACGCCGCACGTTGTCCTGCAAGCGACGCAAGACAGGCCGCAGTAGCATGTTCATCTGGCCCCATATCTGCTCCACCGTTACATGTCGCGCCTGACTCGTCTCCAGCGACTTGCTGTAGTACGGGAGCCGTGGTGTGTGCAGCGAGGAGGCGAGTGCAAAAAGGGAGGAGAGGCACTGACGTGACGCCTCCGCGCCCGCCTTACGCGAGGAAAAAAAATGATCCAACCCGCCATCGAGGGCCTGGTAAACGGTGCCCACAGAGCCCTTCAGCCTGCGTGGTAGTGCCGCCTGCTGTGTTGTTGCTGGCATCACACCCGTTCTCTCTACACGATTCGTGAAGTGGCAAGTGGGCGCGTGTACGGTGCAGCCCAGCCACGTTGCTGCACTAGCTCACCGTGGTGTAAACACTTCATCGCAAAGAACAAAAGCAAAACAGAAGAGAGCGCGGCAGACCCTTTTACACCTCCCAGTGCCGGCCCACGTGCTGCGAGAGTGCCGCAGCGGCACCCGCTCAACGGCGCTTGGAGTGAAAGCGCAACAAGAAGAAGGAAAGGGATACTTGCAGGCCGTAAATATAGTCCACAGGCCGACGTGAAGAAGGGCGTGGGGGGAAGGCAGAGAGTGAACGACATGACCCACCGTCGCCGCCACAACCATCACCATTCTCACACTCCTCGCCATCATCCTCGTTTGTCTGCTTGTCACCTCAACGAAGCGCGCCAAAAACAAAGATATTTTTTTCAAAAAACAAAAAAAAAGACTTTTCGGCGTGGCTGTCGTTTTCCTTCTTTTTTCTCCTTCTTCTTCTTTTTAATCCACCATAACCGTGGCGCACATTATACATCAATACAGATATATTTTTCAGGCACGCTAAAAGCCTCTTTTTTTTTTCTCCCACTCTCCTGTTTGCCCGCGTCTCCTTCCGTTGGGCAATTGTGTTTCGGCCGCGTCCCCTCTCCCTCCCCTTTTCCCGGTGCTGCCCGCACACACGTGTCCCTCGATGATTGAGGGTAACGCAGAAAACAGGGCACCGCACACAGAAGCCTTAAAGAAAGAAAAAAAAAAGGAAAAGAGAGGGATAAAGAGAAAATGTTCAGCGGCCAAACTACTCCTCTGTTAAGAGAAAACAACCCTACAGGTCACCCACGTCATCATCCTTTGTTGCAGGCTTCGACTCGGCTGCTGCTGGTTGCTCTGCGGCTGCTGCCTCCGAGCTCGTCTCCTCCCCGTCCTTGTCCACAGGAAGCAGCAACCCTTCGTCAGTGCCGGAAGTGGAAGGCTTTATGTCTGAGACGTCGTATTCGTTGTCGTCTGGGGGCAGCATCGTGTCGTCCGCGGCGAGTCCCACGCGTCCCCGCAGCAGCCGGTTTACGCGTTTGGCGTACATGGCCTGGTTTGAGACGGGAAAGTCCCCCTGCAGATTGGCGGTGCCAAAGAGAACCCACGCCACGTCGATGGCGGTTTGATCCTTTGGGTCTGATTCAAACCGTGTCAGCAGGTCGCGCACGAGCGGATGGCGGTGATTAATCTCCAGCACGCGAGAGTAGCGCATCATCTGGCTGGAGGAGATTGCCTGCTGATTCATGACACTCACCATGCGTGGTGTCAGGTCGCTTTCTTGCGTGGACAAAATGAAGGCCTCTGAGCTCTGCCGCTTCGTCAAAATGACCTTCCGCACACCACTCTTCTTGAACAGGGTTGCAAGGCGCGACGTGAGGGGTTCATATCTCTCAATACGCTTCTTTTCAATGGCCTTCTCCCGCTCCGTCAGCTCCTCAAACTGTGCGGACTCTTTGGCGAGATTGATAAGGCGCTTGCTCGCAAAGTCGTGTATCTGCGAAGCGACATACTCGTCAATGGCGTCCGTCATAAAAAGGACCTCCACACCCCGCTGCAGGGCCTCCTCAATGTGCGGCGACTGCTTCATCTTGCTCACCGAGTCGCCGGTGAGGAAGTAAATGTTCTTCTGTCCCGGTTTCATGCGGTCTGTGTACTCCTGCAGGCTGACGAGGGTCCCGTTGCTCGTACTGGATGTATACCGCAGGAGCTTCGCAAGGCGGCCCCGGTTGTTCGCATCGTCAATAATGCCAAGCCGGATGTGTTTGCCAAACTGAGCCCAGAACTTTGGATACATCGGCTCCTTCTTGGATTTGTCATCGTCATCCTTCGTTTCCGTAGCGTTCTTGTCTGCCTGCTCCTCCACTGCGGCTGTCTTTTCCTTCTCCAGGCGTTCCTTGAGTCGGGCGTCGTTTTCCCCAATCTCGGCAATCATGGAGAGAGCCTTGCGCACAAGCTTCTTCTTGATGACGCGAAGAATTCGGCTCTCCTGCAGCACCTCCCGGGAGACGTTGAGAGGCAGATCGTTGCTGTCGACAACGCCCCTCACAAAGCTCAGGTACCGCGGGAGGAGCTCCCGGAACTCGTCTGTAATAAAAATGCGTCGCACGTACAACTTGATGTTGTCGCGCGTATTCTCGTTGTTGACGAAGATGTCCTGCGAGGCCTCCTGCGGAATAAAGAGCACGGAGCTGAACTCCACCTCCCCCTCCACCATGAAGTGGGAGTAGTACATCGGGTCACGATAGTCGCGTGTGAGGGTCTTGTAGAATTTGTGGTACTCGTCCGGTGTCACCTCGGACGGCTTGCGGGTCCAGATGGGTTTGTTCTCGTTTACCACCTCCCACTTATCCTCCTTCTGCATGTAGATGGGAAAGTGCACAAACTCGCTGTACTGGTGCACAATATGCCGCACATTGTCGGCGCTGAGAAACTCTAGTGCGTCAGGCTTCATCTCAAGCGTAATCTCCGTCCCACGACCGAGCGTGTTGCCGCGCTCATCTTCGTAGACGTAATACTGTCCGTCGCCAGTGGACTCCCAGACCCACTGCGTGTCACTGTCATCGCTCTTCGAGGCCACCCGCACGCGTTCGGCCACGAGAAAGGCAGAGTAGAAGCCCACCCCAAACTGTCCAATGAGGCTCGCGTCCTTCGTCTCCTTGAGCCGATCCATGAACCGTTTTGTGCCGGAGGTGCCGAGGGAGCCGAGGTGTTCTTCCAGCTCCGCCCTCGTCATGCCAATGCCGCCATCCCGCAGGGTGAGTGTCTTACGCTCGGTGTCAACGGTCACCCGCATCTCCAAGGCGGGCACCTCACCATCTTTGTTCTTCGGTTCCTTCGGCGCAGTGAGGTAGAGCATCCGAATCTTGTCGAGAGCGTCGCTGCCGTTGGAGATGAGCTCACGCAGGAAGACGGCACGGTTCGTGTACAGGGAGTTGATAAGAATATCCAGCATCTTGCTCACCTCGGCCTGGAAGGAGATAGGTTTTCCCTTCTCCACGACCACGTCACTCTGCACCGCGTCCTCAGTGGCCACGACGCTCAGCGCGACGACTGCAACAAGAAGGATCTGCAGAATCGCATGCCACCCTCTCATTTTATATTTATCTGTGTGTTTTTGCTTGATTTTATCTGTTTCTTTTTTTTCTCTCGGTTTTCTATTTTTTTACTTGCCGTTGTTGTTGCTGCTGCCTTTTCTCTTTGTCTTGGCCCAATTGCACCTCGCGGTGTCAAGACGGCGATGAGGGCAGAAAGGAGCGACAGCAGAAATGGGATAATAGAGAGAAAAGGGGTTAAAAAAGGTGTTACTCAGGCGCAGGCGCAGGCGCAGGCGCCGGGGACTCTAATGGCGTGTGTGGGGGGTGAATCCACAGAAAGAGAAAGAGAGAGGCGTGTCCGCCTGTCAGCCACCATGCTCCCCGCACGGTGCTGCGCCTTCTCATACCGCGTCATGCGACTATTGCTGTCGCCGCTGCGCCTCCGCCTCCTCCCACTTCCTATACGCCATCTCGCGGCGGAGCTGCAAGAGACGCCTCCTCTCCTGCACGGCGGCGTAGCGTGGCAGAAGATACTCAACGCCCAACCAGCACGCCATGCCGATGCCGGCGCAGAACGTCACCAGCTGCACACGACGCAGCAGCGACATCTTCTTCATCACCTCCTTGTTCCGTGTCTCCCGCTGCCGCTCCAGGAGGCCTGCGTTCATGATCTGATGCGCACGCGCCGAACTTTTTACCTCGAAAGGACGGTTTGTCTGGTCGCTTACAAAGGCACGCGGACTAGACGCCTGCGTGCGACGCTGCTGCAGCTCCTCCGCGGAGATGCCAAGCTGCTTCGACGGGTCCCGCCGCACGTCATCCACGGCATTCCTCAGCCGTGAGGTCATGTCGGCCGTCGCCGTCACGGGGTCACTCGTCTTCGCCCCGCCCCTGCCACCACCAATACCTTCAGCAGCCGACATGTCTGCGTGGTTTAACGGCAGCACCAGCACCACCCCCACCCGCACTCCCTCACTCCCTACGCCACCCGGTACACACAAACTACTCCCACCTGCCTTGGCAATGAGGGAGAGAGCAAGCAGCGAGAGGGACACACACACACGCACAAAAGGAGGAAGAAAGGGAAAGACACACGAAGACATACAAACCCACGGGGACGGTAAAGACAAGAACAGCGTAGGGAGGTAGAAGAGAAGAAACCAGCGGTGGCGGCAGCGGCAGCGGCAGCAGCAGTGAGAGTGGGGCCTAGGAATAAGAAGAGGAAAAAACACTGGAATACAATTCTCAAAGGAAACAGCACTAGCATTATTATTAATAGTGATATATAACGAAGGTGGGGCGAAGCACACGTGGAGATGCCGCAAAAAAAAAAAAGAACAAACGCATAAAGAAAGGAATGCGTGCCTCTGGTAGAGGCTCGAGGTGCAGGGGAGGGCAAAACGGGAAAAAAAAACAAGGGGGAGGGAACAGGAGTACCCTCTCCGCGGTATTTGATCCCCATACACCCCAGACACGCGAAAAGATCCATCCTTCCGTCTCTTCTTCTTTTATTTTGCCTTTTGCTTCATTGAAAGGAAACTTGCAGGTTCCCTCGTTTCTGTTGTTTCTTTTGGTTCTTTGTTGATTCAGTGGCCCACATGCCCCCACACCCACACCCACTCACTCATTCGCCCCCCTCACAGTCAGCCACACCCACACACACACACAGTGAGACATGCCTCGCAAGGTCCCGCCCCTTCGTTTCTTTTCTTTTTTCCTGCCCATCTTTCATTACCCCGGGTGGTTGTCGCCAAACCTTTGGCGGCCGCAAGGCATTGGGTCTCACTCTTTTTTTTCTCTTTTTTTTTTTCTTTGTTGTTGTTGTTGTTTTTGTTTTCTATCCCTTTCAGTTAGTTCTTTTCCTTCCTTTGACTGGCCGCCTCGTCTGTCTGCCTGCTTGCATGCGGGGGTGCTTGTTGGGCCCGTCGCAGCCGCGCGGCTTCCCGCCGTAGTTGTGTGTGTGTGTGTGTGTAACTAAATCCACTTTGTCATATTTTTTGAGGCTGCCGCCCCCTCCCACTCACGCCGTCCGTTACCCCCGCAAACCGCACATGCACGTAAAGACTGCGGCTCCCTAAAAGTCGTAGAGGTCCGCCTCATTTTCCTGGTTGTAGCCTGCCATGCTCTGCTGGATAACCTGCTTCATGATGCGCGCCGCCACCTCCTTGTTCGGCTTCAGCACGTCCGCCGACAGCGGCTTGCCAGTGATGGGGCAAACAGAGCCGTTCTGCGCAAGCCACGCAAGTATCGCCTGCTCCTCGAAGGTGTGGCCGTACGGCGACACAACGGGCTTCTTCATCACATTGCCGGTGAGGATGCACAGCAGGGCAGGGTCGACGCCAACAATGACGTCCCTCCGAACCACCGCGATACGCTGCTGCATATCCCCAGCGGCTGCGGCAGTCTCAATGGACACCTTTGCCTCGGCCGGCTTCAGTCGCAGCGAAGGCAGCTCGCCCAGGAAGCGGTGTCCGCCCAAGTCGGCTGCAGGCTTATGGGTGGACGGTGGCGGTGTCTGCGCCGCTATGCTCGGCTCCAAATCGCCAAAGAGCTTATCCAGCGTGATAAAGGTGTGGGAGCTGCGATCCACAAGGGTGTCTGGCTCCACCGTCTTCAGGGCAGTGTGCCATGCCTGCACCCACGCCAACCCCCCCGGGGCGACCTCGCGCTGCAGGAACGCCTCGATCGCATTCAAAAGCGACGCGCTTAGTAATTCTTTGGGGATTTCCGCAGAAGATATATACTCCTCCCCGCCAAGGGCGTCTATGTTGGACATGAAGTGGAACATGTCCATATACACACGCATGAGGACACTGGATGCCGGATTATCCCGCTGCACGTACTGCAGCGAAAGCTGTAGCATGTCGTGCAGGTACAAAGAAAAGATGCGCACCACGCCACCGTGGTGACCCATACGAAACGTGCAGAGCGAGGCAAACTTAAATCCCAGTGAGATTCCACGTAACATTTCAATGCTAAGGTCGGGGCTCCTCCCTTCCAAACTCCGTTGCAAAGCGTCGCACTGCATAAGCATGTACAACGTCACAGTGTGTTCCAGGAACGTGGTGGAAAGCAGAATGTGCTGCCGCCACTGCGTCGAGCTTTCGGAGGAAAACCGAAATATGTTCATGATGCATCGCATTGCACTGCATGTAGCTACATGCAGCAACGGCGTCATCACGTTCATCTGATCCAGCTGCTCCGTCAAGACATCACTGAGAGACTGAACCGCCTTCAGGTGAAGCATCAAGTGCATGATAAAGTCAATTTTCTCCGTGAAGGAAAGGCAAGACGTCTCCTCTACTCCTTTTGAGGAGTCAAAAAAGGCCTGTGGCTGCGTAAAGCCAAGAAGAGTGGTTATGCAGTTACACAGCAGTCCCAGCTCGTACGCAGGCTCCTTCAGTAATAACGCAAGCATGAGCTGCACAGAAAACTGTGTGTTCCCGTCCGTAAACTCAAGCACATTCACAGCCTTCAGTTTGTAACCCGTCACACGCATGAGAAGCACCGCCACGTGCTCTGACATGCGCCCCAGTTCAGGATTAAACTTCAAGGTTGCCTCTTCCTTTATAGATTCCTCAAAAAAGGCCTCCAGTTTATCCAGCACCTCAAAGACGCAGCCTCGAATTGGTTTGTGAAGGGCGAAGTTGTTCAGAATGAGACACACACGTGACTTATCCTCCAGAGACACCGCCTCCCTGTCAGGGTTGTTCAGGTACTTCGTGACGAGCGTGTCAGAGATGCGCTGTGCGCACCGCTTCGCCTCCACAAGGTTGGGGCCGTAGAAGCGAGCCGCCTGGCCAATGTCGCTTTCCTGCAACCAAAACGTAATCTCCTCCGTCGTCAGCGGCAAGTCGGACTCAAGACGCCCCGCAAGCTGGTAGATGGTTGACATCTGCCGTCTACAACGAAACCAAGTGTCTCAGCTTTATGTTGCGTATTCTGCGAGCAGCTCCCAGATGATTGCGCGCTGGCAAAAACAAAGTAGCAGAAAAACATAATAATAATAAAAAAAAAAACAGACAGCAATGAGAATCTGCTCGATTCACACCGGGGCAACAAGTGAGACAAGCAAATAAAACCGTCGTGCCGGCAAACACACACACATGTTGAAAAAAAAGCCACAAAACACAAATAAAACAAAAAAAAAGGAGATCCAACGAAGGTCGCGCAAATCTGATCGGCGCGGCCCCGCCGAAGAGTTTGTGGGTGGAAAGACGCTGCACGGGAGTGGCCACCGAAGAAACAGTAAGAGGGAGGAAAATGGTGAAAAATGAGGAAGTAGACACTACAGGGTGGTGCTCAGGATAGATACACGGACGGACACGCTAACCTTTTCGCCAGTGGAGGAGCACGCACCACAAACGCCGCTTCCCTCCACTGGCGGACTAGGCACCCGCAGCTCGCCGACGCGGAACAATATGAGAGGAGAACCACAAAGTCACCACGAGAATATGGCGTGCCAACAAACGTAAAACAAAAAGGAAAAGGGCAACAGCACACAACGGCCGGGATGAAGCACAACCCTTTCACCGCCCTCGCAGTGCAAAATCTCCCAGACACCGTCTCAAGACGCCTTTCCTCAGCGCATGGACACATTGGTCCTCTGCGCCGCCAACAAGTCCGTCAGGAGCGACTGACTCCCTTTTGGAGGCAGCAGCACTACCTGGTTATTCCCCGTGTTTCCCACCTCCTTCAGCGAGTCAAAGTACTGGTTCATGAGCAACAACTGCACCACGTCGCGTGCACCAACACCGGGCACGCCGTCGACAAACGACTCGATGCTGCTCTGCAGGCCCTCCATGATTGCCCTGCGCTCCTCGGCGAGTCCAACGCCAGCGAGACGCTTCTCCTCAAACGCCGCCTCTGAAGCCTTAATTTCGACAATTTTGTCCAGCTCAGCCTTGTGCTCCGCGGCAGTGCGGCGATACGCATTGAGCTGTGTCTGTTCAATGGCCACCTGGAGCTCCTGTGTCGGCTCAATCCGGGTCACAAGCGTTGCCTCCAGCGCAAAGCCGTATTGGCTGAGCCGCTCCTTCAGCTCCTCCTCGACCGTCTGCTTGATATTCCGCGACATCACAAAAATCTCATCCAGTGTGTACTTCGGCACCTCGCCGCGGATGACATTGGCCGCGAAGCTCGCAATCTGCTCCCTCGGGTTCGAAAAGCGATAGAAGGCGTTGGATGCCTCCGATGGCAGGACACGGTAGTGCAGACACGCCGTGATGAGAACCAGTGCGTTGTCCTTTGTCTTTGTCTCGACATTCACTGAGGAAAACTGAAGCTTCACCGTCACTCTCCCCCGCACCGTCTCGACGCACGGAATGAGGCAATGGCACCCCGGTGCGGCGACGCGCTCGAACTTCCCGAAGCTCTCCACAATGCCAAGTGAGGCGGTGTTGACGCAAAAGCAGCAGGACATATCCTCCTCCCAGCTGATTGCGTCGCCCTTCACCTCTTCCTCACAGTTGTGTTTGTTTGTTTGCTTGCCGTGACCCCTGCGTGCCCGTTCCTACCGTGTGCTTCCACTGACTTACCGAAACGCGTTGCTTGCGGTAGAACGAAATCAGCGGTGGGTGTTGAGCAGCGCCGTTCGAAAGCCGCGCCCCCCACCACGACCCACGCGGGAGAAGCAAAAAAAAAAAAAAGCGGGCAGGGTGAAAAGAGGGCGGCTGAAAGAAAAGCCACAGAAAGAAAATAAAATAAACCGCATTCGTCGTAATCGCCGCAGACACACGTCAGTAACACCGACAGCAGGCTCTTTTTCTCTCTCCTACACACACACACGCACATAGACGCTCCCTCCTCCTCCTCATATCAGTCTCTCTCGGTTCACGGAGTGTAGGGAAACGCAGCACGTCCCACACGTAAGCGTGAGCTGTCACTGGCTTATCCAGACCGCGCCAGGTACTCCTTCGTCACCTGCAGCGCTACAAGAGACTCGGCGATGCACTTAGACACCACGTCTCTACACAGCGACAGAGCCTGCGCGCCACACCTCTCAACCGCTCTGGGTCGTGGTTCTCCCCGCACAGCGAGTGTCGCCCACCGCTTATTGTACGGAATGCAGCGCACCAAGCCACTTGCGGTGAGTTCCGAAATAACCGCAGGTGTAGCGCCACCCTTCCTCAAGCTATCCTCGTGTGCCACTACGACCAGGTTCCCTTTCTGCGCCAGGACGCTTTCACGGAGACGGAAGAGCAGCTGCGGGGGAAGTGTTACACCCTGATTAATGTAGAGCAGGAATGTCATTCGGCGACGCGTCAGGTTGGCCTGCGCACAGGTGTGCGACACCAGCGTGTACTCCGTGTGGTAGCGACCCAGTGGAAAGGTCCTGAAGATGACACGACTGACAAACCATGCATTGTTAAAGGAGACGCGGCGGATGCGCTCCGCCACGCGCGAAACAATAAGCTCTAGAGGAAGTTCCTTCTCCAGTTGAAGAAAAAACGGAAAGGGAAGCCGCCGCGAGAATTCTTGCAGTACTGCAGAGGCGCAGGCAAGCTCCTCTGTGGCGCGCTGCACAGCGCCTTGGCCCGCGCTGCTGCCGATGGGCACGACTGTCATGGGGCGGCGCTGATCATCTTCACCGAGGAAAATATACGACGCAGACGACAAAAACAGCTCTGATGAACTTCGCCGCTGCTGCTGGTGGGGCACGTTGTTGACACCCGGCCCAGCGTCCTCAAAGTAGGTGGAGACCAACTCCTCCGCCCCCTCCTTGTTCCACGCCTCCGTCACGGGCGGCAGAACCTCGTCCGGCGGGGCAAACTCCTGAAACAGGCGTGTGGCCACGTACTGCGACTCAAAGTCCATCCCCACAACATTCAACCCTATTATCGCCAGCAAAGCGAGCCAGGTCAAAAGCGACCAGTAAGAGGAGAGGATGTACGAAAGAGGGAGATTGAGAAAACAGCGTTGCTTCATCCGCACTTGCTCGTTGAAGGTGAGTTTGTCCGCCTGCGAGGTGAGAAACCTCCACATGTTGAGCGCCGTCGCGATCCTCGAGCGTGTAGCCGAGATGGGAAGCTGGAGGTCAATAGCCGCATTAAGAACATACGTATACCTGGGATTATTCCCCGCCGACTCGCTCAGCACCTCGCGCAAAACCATGACACTCGCCCACGGTGATAGCGTGAGAGGAAGTGAGGTAACGAGCAGACGCAACTCGGCCGGGATTTCGTCCGGGTCGTCTGCCGGGTCGCCGTTGGCTTTGGCCTCTCCTGGGGGGCCACCCTCAGTGAAGACATTTACAAGAAGAAACAGTTTCCGCCGGTATTCGTCGTGGATGTTGGGTAAGGGCACATGCTGCTCCACAAACGCAAAGAGTTCATCGCTGACAACCCTTGAGCCCTGTTGATTGGCCCCTGTTTCATCCACGAGGGCCTTGATCAACTCCTCCACAAAGGCCACGAAACGCCCCCGAATAGAGGCCGGCGTGGACAGTCGCAAGAAGGACGGTGCACTCCCCACGCCACCGCCTCCACGGCCACTACTGCCATTGTCGCCGTCCGTCGTGGCGGTGGCGGCACATCGACCCTCCTCCTCCGCCACCCCCGCCGAAGAGGTTGTGGGTGGGAATACGTTGGGTTCGGCTGCCGCAGACCCCTCACGAGAAAAAGGAGAGTGGTCCCGTGTCTCATCACTGTGTGCATCAGCCGTCACCGCCTCCACAATATTGCGCACCTGCACCTGAACCTGCCTCTTCAGCCGTCGCTGATCCCGAACCAGGGCACGCAGAATCTCCTTTAGACGGCTGTACGAGAAGGTCACCAGTGCCCACGGGCTGCCGTCCATCACCTGCAGTTCCTCCAGTTGTTCACGCGCCGCAGTGTCGAAGGTGCCTGTGCCGCGATGCGGCCGCAGGTTTTCCCGCTGCTGTGTGTCAAAAAGACGTGCACCAAGTGCCGCCACAAAACCCAAGTCATCCTTTGAAAATGAATGCGCATCGCGGCGAAGACGTTCTTCCAGTCCCATCAATACCTCACGAATGACAAGGATAAAAAATTCCTCATTGCCACTGCTGTCGAGAAGTGGCAGGAGGAGCGTCATCACGACACGAAGGTCAGTGGACTTCGCCGAAAGAAGACCGCTTTTTTCCAAGAGACTAATTGCGTCCGCCTGGCTGTGCTGCACTATCCGGCGGAAATGGTGGTGGCACGTAGAGCAGCTGGGAGCCTCCTTCAGCAACCAGAGCGTGAAGCCGGGTAGCTGAGGGCTGTCCCCTGGAACATTGTATGTGGCTGCTAGCAACAAGACGCTCGCACGACAACTATCAGCTAAAACATCTACAAACCGAGTTACCTCATCCGTTTTCGGCAATGCCGTGGCAAGCTCAAAAAGGCGTGTAGTGGCTGTAAATAGGTAAGTGGGAGGATTCGCCATATGACCAGCAACTTTCTCAGCCTCATGCTGTAGCAGCCTCAAACACTGCAAAAGTAAAATGGCCCCAAGAACGTGCCGCAGATTAGCACTTGGTGTTCTCTCTACCATCGCATTGGATGCATCTCTCTCAGATGCAAGCAAAACGTCTCTCACCACATGGCAAAAAAACGGTCTCAGCTCATTGCTGTTCATCGCGAAAGAATATACAACAGCAGCATCAGACATGCTCCAATCTGTGCCGTTTTCCTTCATGCGTGCCTCGATAGCCTCAAATTGTTGCATGTCAAGTCGATGTACCTCACGGGCGTGGTACGCGACGTACATCGTCCTGAAAGAAGGAAGACGTGAGAAGGCGACAGGGGAGAGATCTCCATCCTCGTGGAGCCACTTGACGCGATTGTCCTCCTCAGGTGTAAGCAGTAGTCGCGCCACCCAGGAGCCCTTGTCCACCCCCTCGCCCTCAGCCCCATCCAGCTGCGAAAGACACTCGCATAGCCCGACTTGCTGAGCCTCGGTTAACGCGGGACCAACCAGAGCCTCGTACTTTGCCTCGCCCAACAGTCGTCGTAACGGCTGCTCCACAGCGGCAAGTTTCAGTGCAAAGACAAAGTCGTCCCGCTCCCGGTCCCCCTCGCTGCGAACAAAGGCTAAGGAAGGGCTCTCCGGCTGCAGTTTCTGCTCAGTCGCGCGGTAAAGTAGCGCAGCACAGCAGCATCGGTTTCGCTTTGACGCAGGGAGTGACTCCTTAGGGGAGGGAAGATTTTGCGCACAGACACCCGGAGGAGTATTGCGGTTCCTAAGCACGGAGTACGCCGAGCGACGTAAGTTTGTATAGACGCCCCTTTGCGGCAGTTCCGACGGTGCCGGAGGTGAAGACAGGGACGGCTGGGGGCCGATTGCAATGTCGCTCTCAAAGCAGTTAAGGCTCTTCACAGTCAAGCCGAGGTGCGCGTGCCGTCGCAGGTAACTCGTGGAAAAAGGCAAGCGCGCCATCGTGCTTTCAGCCCTGACAAGAAGCGACTGTCAAGGGCGGCGCAATCAAAAAAAAAAAAAACGTAGAGACGTAAGGGTTTGCGCAATGCATGAGAGCATAAAGATTTTTCTATATATATATATATATATATATATATATAAAAGAGAACGCGGCACAACTAGGCAAAGGTGCACAATACCAGCGGAATAAGTAACAGGAACAAATTCAAACCAGCAAAAAAAAAAAAATGGAGGGAAACCAATAATCCATCCTCTAGTATCATCGTTAATAATGAACTCCTTATGCGGAGGAAACGAGAGAATTATATCCGATCTATCCGCTAACCAACATCATGAACGACTTTGTTTATTTGCAGCCTTGGCAAAGCCAGTCGCACTGGGGGAGCCACTAACCGCAGCCGTACCCCAAGGTCCACTTGCGGACGGAGCCGGCACACCGAAGCCGCCAACGGCAGTGCTAGGTGTGGCTGTTGCTGTTGTGGTGGTTGTTGCGGCCGCAGACGGGGCAGCAGGAGCCGTAGGAGCAAGAGGTGCGGCAGCTCCAGCAGCAGAAGTAGCAAACCCAGTGGCCCTGGTGCCAAGAGATGCCGGAGCGGGGGCTTGTCGTTGACGCTCAAGAAGCACGTCGTACTGCATTCTGCGCTCCCCGCTGCTAAGGGCATCCAAGCGGTCCAGTCCGACCGAGCGCCTATGGATATCCCCAATTGTGTACTGGTCAAGTTCTGAAAACGAAGATGTTTCCGCTGAGCCGAGCGGAAATGGTCTTTTGGGCCCCACAGGCAGCTGCCGCTGCTCTTGGGCAAGCAACACCTCGGCTTCAGAGGCCCCATATAAGTGGGCAAAGAGATCCCGGGCTGCATCCGACCTGGTGTGCAGTCGCGATGTCCACGCGGCCAAATTTAGAAGGGCAGCCAACTCATTGCTGAGAGTTGTGTTCATCTGAACGATTGGGTAGGTGAACATTGTGGGCCTTAGGCCACTCGTCCTATCGAGTGGCTTCATCTCTGCCACGTACCGTGAGAAGAGCGACGCGGAGGATGCAGGCTCCGTGGTGGTGTTGGCAGTGTTGTTGGTGTCAGCCGCTGTCAGGCGTTTCTGTCGCTGAGCGTTGGGCAGGACGGCAAGCTCCAACTCCGTCAAGGCTGCGGACACCTCCTCCATCCGCATCTGTACATCGCGAAGACAACGCTGAAACGGCTCAGAGGGCAACTCAGTTCGATTTCCACCGCTCCGCTGCGCGAAGTTCTGCTCCACCAGTGGTTCCCAGACCTGCTTTGAGTACTGCACAACCTCCTCCTCACACTTCTGCAGTAGCATGCCGAGGTGTTGCCCCTGAACCTCCCGCTCAAAGCAGTCCACGCGAATCGCATCCACGGCGTTCTCCCCGGTCGTCAGCTGAGCAAGTTTCTTCTGCAGTTCCCTGTAGCTACAGATGGCAGCAGCGGCTCCCCCCGAATCGGCCAGAAAACTCTCCACAAACCGCTTTGCCTCGTGCTCCGTCTGGATAAAGTTGTGCAGCTCCATGAGGTGTTGCTGCAACGATGGTGGCAGCTCTTCAAACAGTGCATCGTCACGCAGCGTGGAGAAGTTGACGCTGCGTGCCCAGTCATTGGAGAAGCCCGGACCCTTTATCCCCTTATACGGGGGAACCTGCGGCTGAGCCCCAATAGCTCTTGCAGTGCCGAAGCCCTTCGAGGCACCGAATCCGCCAAAGCCAACAGTGCTTGTGCCAAAGCCTCCAATCGCGGCGGTGTTTGTGCCAAAACTTCCGAAGCCTCCCGGCGCTGCTGCCGTCGCCCCTGTGCCTACGCCGGAAAACGGAGCACTTTTCCCTGCTGTCACTGCTGGAGCGGCCGCAAAGCCGGTTCCTGCTGATGTCTGTCCAAATCCGAACATGCACTTACAACTACCACACTATGGTGCAACAGGAAGTTGAGGAGACAGTGGCAAGGTATGGGCTCTGGGGGATAGCAAATGCCACAGAAAGAGACGTCAGAGTTGTGCTGCCTGTCACCATTTAAAGCAGTCAGCAGAGCACAAAAAGAAGCAGCAAGAAGCAGCGTCGTCACGGCGGAAATAAAAAACAGGAAGAAGGCAGAAAAGCACACATCTAATAACTGCTCGTGCCACGCCACGACTGGGATAGCCCAGTCTGTATTATTCTATTCAAAAACAAAACAAAAATAATAATAAGTCCAAAAGTAGATCCTCACCGAACGCCCATAATGAACAAGACAGCGGGTCCACTGTATCGTGTGATGCTGTTTTTAAACGTAGCCGCAGGCGCTCCATCCATCGCGGTACGCCAACGCCTTTTTTACGCGATCCTCGCGATACGACAACGTCGTTGCGAGCGCCTTTGTGCGGATCCGCCCACAGCCCACGGTATTCACAGCCTGAGGCCGCATCTTCACTCCACACGCATTCCCTATCGCGGCGGACGTAAACTGCGGTTGCCGCACCTGGTCCACCCCAGCAGGCAGGGCGGATGTATCTTCCAGGCTTACGCAGAATTCACACTGCCATCGAGAGCCAGCTTGGGGGAGCGCCCTGCCCCCCAAAAGACTCCCGCAGTGGCGAACGCACTGTAGATGTCCATTGCACTTTGCGACGGTGTTGACCCCATGGCCCGCAAGCAGCCTTTTATACCCGTGTCTTGTTTCACGTCTCTGACGCGGGTTTTTTTTCCACTGCGGTGCCAGGGCCATCCCACTTGCCTTGTACTGGCCTAAGATGCTGTTTTGTAGCCGCTCACGGCAGAGGAAGCTACGAATCTGCAAGGGCACGTCATCGTCGCCGTCTCCTTCACAGGCAACGGGACGCCAAACAACACCAAGGAGTTTTTCCAGGGCCTCTAAGTGTTCCTTGTAAGAGTCGCGCCGCTCAGGTGTCAGGATGGGATCGTCCCAAACCTTTCCGGGTAACTCTGACACCGCTTCCGCTTTACAGCTCAACGCGTCGGGCCCATGGCACAACAAATGCCCTCGGCGCGCCAGCGAACTCTCAATTCTACTCCCTAAGGACGATGGCGGTGACGATGACGACGATGATGATGATGATGACGTGGGAGGAGCGGTGCCTTGGATCTGTTGTTCTTCTGGTCCACCAACGGCCCCCCGCGGCAACGCGTCTCCACGCCACAGCGTATCGCTTTGGGTAGACATCGTAGACGTTTCCTCCGTGCTCGCTTGCCACTGCCGCTCCGAGGCCCGGTCGGGTGAACTGGAGAAGGCAGATGAGGTGCTCGCCGGACACACGTGAAAGTCGCCGCCCACCACATTGTTGATGCTCTTCTCGTCCAACCCCAGCGAGGCGAGCGTCTCCTTGACGACGCCCATATCCACGTCGGCGCCGTGCAGAATGCTCTCCAGGTACTCGACGTAGGTATCCTCAAGTGGTTGCAGCATGCCCCGCCGGCACCGTCACCCCCCAGCCAAATCCTCGTGTAACTGAAGTGAGGCGGCACAAGGGAGCAAGGAGGAGCATACAGGCAAAACCCAAAAAAAAAAAGGTGGGGGGGGGGGTGGGAGAAGAGGGGGTAATCGACGTATTTGTGCTGCACGCACCGCACCCATCGGTGGGGGAAAAAAAAAAGAGAGTGAGGGGAGGGGAAAGGGAGGGGCGCGGGCAGAGAGGCCCAACACGTAAGCGCCACACGCCAACTGCATGCACAACACGCATCAAATGTCACGATTGGTGACCCTCGCAGCCTCCGCCACGTTTAGAGCGCCCTCGACCAGCGATACGTCTTGGGCAACTTTTCGTGTTTCGTGCAAAAGCTTCTCCAGACCCTTGACCGCGACCACAATGCCCGTCATCCCTTCCAGTACGCCGTTTGCTGAGGCCATTGCCTCGCGCAGCTGCTCCTCAAGAAAAATGGTGCCTTGAAAGAGAGCCGTGCTGGAGTGCAGAGTTGCGCGCCCGGCCTGAGCCGCATGCCCCTCGTATGACACGACCAAAGCCTCAAATTCGTGCGCCAGACGAGCTGCGGTGCCTTCCAACTCCGCCACTTCCCCCTCGAGGGGCGCGACTGTGGGAGGTAGCGGCAGCTGGCACGATATCGCAGCGTTGGGGTGCGTCGCTGTTTGCTCACCACAACCCGCCACACCCGACATTGCTGTGAAGAAGAAAAGCAAGAGAATAGCAAGAGCAGACAGACGTACTAACACCAGTCAATGCAAGTTAGAAAAGAGATAAACCCGTCCGCCGCCACGATGCACACACGCACACGTACACACACGCAAGAAAACTTGATGTTACGTTAGGAATAATCAGAGGAAGATTCTGTCTCGGTCTGTATGTTATTACGCATCGTCTGCGTCACAAGAAGATACTGGCTGTTGTTTCACTCCTCCCGGCGCCTCCGTGTTTGCTGCCCCTCCGCAGTGTGCCCACTTCCTCCCAAAGTGGCTGTTGTTGCTGCGGCGCCATATATTCATTAGTTATTCTCCTTCCTCCCGCCGCCGTCGGCCTCCTCCTCGTCACTCGCCGTTTCCCATTCATCCTCGCTGCCTCCCTCCTCCTCCTCCCCCGCGTGCCGCTCTACACCAGGAACAGCCATCGGTCCAGTGCGGCGAGGTGGCGCCGGCGTCCTCTCCCCAATGCTCGCTGCCAGCTGACGAAGCTTGTCAAGCAGCATCCGCTCGAAACCGGCCTTTTCGTCCACATCGTCAGAGTCCTCTTCCTCCTCCTCAAACTCCCCATCCTCTTCCTCGTCGCCGTAGAGCATACCACGGTCCACACCCATTATCTGCAGGTTCTCTCTCCCCGCAGCCCCCATGCGATACTCCATTCGGCTGCCGTACCCCGCCGCATCGTCCTCGTCGAGGTAATCCATGAAGTCAGCGTCATCGTCGTCATCGTCGTCGCCCCCCCAGCCCACCTCAAAGCGCTCCTTCAGGCCTTCTTCGGGTGCACGCAGGCGCTGCTCCAGCTCCCCCTCACGAGAAAAGAAATCGCCGTATCTTTCATTGATCTTCGCCATGTGTTGGGCGATGCGATCGTTGTAGCCATCTGTATTCGCCCATGGGAAGCCATTACTAGGCGCCCCTGCCTGGTGCAGTGCGATGCGGCGCCCGCGCAGCTTCTCACGCTCATTCGAGATGTCAAAGTATTCTACCAGCTTTCTCAAGACCTTCTCACACTCGCCAGGGTCGATGCTATTACCCTGCGCCTGCATCTTTAGCAGCTCGCCATGAACCACTGTCGCCACCAGGCCGTCGCGGGCCTCCCTTTCCAGTTCTGTGGCAATGCGGTAGTTCAGAGACACGTTCGTCTCCTCGTCCGAGCTGGCGCTTCCCTCCGAACCCTTTGCTGCATCGTCCCCCTCACCACACAGCTGCGACACAAGGTGCCGCGCCATCCGCAGCGCCTCCTCACGCTCAGCTATGGAGACGAGGCCTGCGCCCCCCACGCCCGTCCCGGTGTCGGAAGCCCTCACCGCTACTGTCGACTTCGCCGGGAACATCACGTTGAGGTCAAAGAGCGGGGACTCCTCAATGTCGTCAAATATCCCCTCGTCGCCTGTCTCCCGGTACCGTTGCTTCCACCATTTGTGGACGGCCCATGCAACAAACGCGGAGCTCAGAGCTGCAGAGACAGCATAAATGGCGCCACGATGCGCTCCTGCACTCTGCGGCGCCGTCGCAAACATGTGGAGTTGAATGTAACCGTCGTCGTTACTTCCCTGCCTATTCCTTCTACTATTTCGCTTCCCCTTTACGATGCACGGGCGGTCCGTGCCCACTGTTCCTCTGCCACTGCAAGAAGGGTGGAAGAAGAAAATCGTTAAGCCCAACGAATGAAAGAAGGCAAAACACAACGGTATACTCTCTCTCTCTCTCTCTCTCTCTCTCTCTCTCTCTCTCTCTCTCTCTCTCTCTCTCTCTCTCTCTCTCTCTCTCTCTACTACTACTACTACTACTACTACTACTA